CACGTAAAGGTGGACTCGGGTAGACTGCGACCGAGTGGCACGGCTCAGGTGGGCAGGCCGCGCAGAGGTGGACTCGGGCAGACTACGACCGAGGGACACGGCTCAGGCGGGTAGGCCACGCAGAGTTGGACTCGGGCAGACTGCGGCCAAGGGGCACGACTCTGGCGTTTTACATCTGCCATGCACTTTGACATGGTTGGGTCCCGGGCCTCGTATCCGCCGCTGAGGTGCTCGACCACCAACTGCGAGTCGGTGAGGAAGTGTATGGCGTCCACCTACATCTCAATGGCCAACCTGAGTCCTGCTAGAAGCGCCTCATATTCTGCCTCGAACGAACGTCCGTCAAGGGCTTCCAACACTAGCCCCGTGCCCGCGCCCTTCGAGCTGGCCGATCCATCCACGTGCAGGACCCATCTTTCTCTAACCTGCTCAGAATCCTCGTCCTCGAGCTGAGTCAGTTCTGAGATGAAGTCGGCTACCAATTGGGCTTTGATGGTGGTCCTTAGTACATATTATATGTCGAACTCGCCGAGCTCCACCGACCATTTGAGGAGGTGACATGTAATGTCGAATTCAGACAAAACCTGTCGGAGCGGTCGGGCGGTAATTACCTCAATTGGATGGCTTGGAAGTAGGGGCGCAGCTTTCGGGCTATTAACATGAGCGCCAGTGTCAATCTTTCAATCGGCTGGTATCGCTCCTCGGGCCTACTTAGGACATGGCTGATGTAATAGACTGATAGCTGCTCCTCGGAGGCTTCTTTGGTAAGGACAGAGCTAACCGCGTGCCGGGAGGTGCACAGGTAGATACTAAGCTTCTCCCTGGAAGAGACTGAGGCAAGGCGGGGGAGGCTGGCCAGGTGTTGTTTTACACGTACGAGGACTTCCTCGCATTCTACCGTCCATTGGAATTTCATTGGGGTTTTCAGGGCCCGGAAGAAGGGGAGGCATCGATCACCCGATCGGGAAAGAAACCGAGATAAAGCGGCGAGCCTCCCGTACAGCCTTTGCAACTCCTTGATTGTCCGAGGGGCCTGCATACTGATGATGGCCTGGACCTTCTTCGTGTTGGCATCGATTCCCCTTTCGTGTATGGTGAATCCGAGGAATCTTCCTGAGCTGACACCGAAAGCACATTTTGTCGGGTTGAGTCGCATGTCGTATCTTCGCAACGTGGCAAACGTCTCGGCCAAGTCGATCAGGTGGGCCGCTGTCGTACGACTTTTTACGATCATGTCATCGACGTACACCTCCATATTTCACCGGATCTGTCGGGCGAACATCCTATTTATGGTTCTCTGATATGTAGCCCCAGCATTCTTTATCCGAACGGCATGACTCTGTAAAAATATACCCCCCGACCGGTGAGGAAGGCTGTGTGCTCTTGGTCTTCGGGCGCCATCCCGATCTGGTTGTAGCCAGAGAAGGTGTCCATAAACGAGAGGCGAGCATGCCTGGCGGTCGGAATTCTTGCCCGGAGGGAATAGCGACCCATTGAACGCGCATACGAGGAGTTCTTGCCCGGAGGGAATAGCGACCCCATCCCAATCGGAACACCGTGATCGGCCACCTCAGTAGTCGGAAGGAGCGTCCTAGGGAGATTCCCGTCATCCGGATCCGAACCGAACCGCGTCGGTCCTGAGGCCACGACTTAAGGTTGCTTACACTAACATTTTTGGTGCTAGAAGGAGGGTTGAAATGTCGAGTGATCACCCGATTGGCTCGGACGAACCTACAACTAAGGGGTCACATCTGATTAGAGCTTTAGGGGAACATCCCTCGCACGGAGATCTTCGTGACGAACACCCCGCAACGACCTCAGAGCGCTATTGGCGGATATTCAATGACCCGGGCCTGTCGCCACTCGATGGTGCCCCCGCCGACCCATCGCCTGTGTCATCTGAGGCCTTCCATGACCTCACCCATCAAGTCCGAGCTCTGACTGGTATGGTGCAATCTATTATTCCCCTTGTTTCTCGTCCACTGTGCTCCTCGGCCGTCCAACCACTGCGACAACAGGAGCCACCCATTCAGGCTCGCACACCGCCTCGGGAGCTCCCCGCTTCGCCTCGGGTCCCGTCACCCCCACCTGGGGTCAGGTAGCGGCCAACCCAAGAGGCCACCCAGAACCCGAGGCATTATCTTCGGATTCTATGGATTCCCTGCGAGCCCAGTTGCGCTTCGTCAATCAACGACTCGACGAGGTGCAGAAGGAGGTCCGCAGGTCAAAGGGAGATTTCGGGGAGGATGCACACCAGGGATCTCTATTTTCACCCGAGATATAGGGCCAGATAGTCCCCCCGAACTTTTGACTCCCCTACCTAGATGCTTACGACGGCTCCACTGACCCAGCGAACCATGTAGCCGCTTTTCACGCCCAGATGGCGCTATACAGGACCTCTGATGCTCTGATGTGCAGAGCGTTTCCCATCACTCTGAGAGGGCTGGCCCGCATGTGGTACAGTGGCTTGAAGACCAGAACGATTGCTTCCTTCGACCAGCTCGTCAAGGAATTCGAGCTCCACTTCATGGCCTATGCACGGCCGAAGCCTTCCGTTGTGCTTCTCCTCGGACTCAACCAGAGGGAGGACGAGCCCCTCTCCCATTTTGTGAATCATTTTGCAATGCAGATCCAGGGATTACTGGACACTCATCCTTCTCTATTGATGCAAGCGTTTATGATAGGCCTGCGTCCTTCCAGGTTCTTCTGGTCCCTCGTGGAGCGACCCCCCACCGCGGTGCCCGAGATGCTCCAACGTGCAAAACAATTCATCGCGACCGAGGCCTGGATGGCCGGGAAGCGGGAAGAGCATAAGAGGGGCAGGCCGGAGCTGGCTTGGGGACAACAGTCTGCCACGCCGAGGCGCAGGCTGGACCGACCTGACCCGCCCGTGCTAAGGTCTCCTATACCCTCTTTGGGTGCATCCCGAACGAAGATATTTCTCCAAATAAGGGAAAAAGGGCTGCTCAGGGCCCCCGTCCCGATGAAGAGCCCGCGGGAACTCGTTGACCAGTCCAAGCATTGTCGCTTACACCAGCAAAGCAGACACGATATTGAAGAGTGTTGTGAGCTGAAGCGGCAAATCGAGGAGCTCGTCCGTATAGGACACCTCAGCCGGTACGTTCGACAGAATAGGTGATCGTCGCCCCATCCGGAGGGCCCCGTTGAAAGCCACATCGACGTCATCACGGGCGGCCCAGCGTCCGGTGGGATCAGTATGTCTGGAAGGAAGGCATACGCCCGTTCGACTAGGGATGACGCTCCCCGACGTGGCCCCGACCACGAGGTCGCGTTCCCCCCCGAGGGAATCATAATCGACACTGAGTGACCAGAGCACGACGATGCGCTCGTGATAATGGCTCGAATCGCCAACGCCCAGGCGAGGAGAATCATGATCGACACGGGGAGCTCAGTCAACGTGCTATATCTTGACGCTTTTCAGAAACTGGGGTTAGCCAAAGAGGCCTTGGAGCCTATTTGCTCGGCGGTCACTGGGTTCACCGGCGACTCGATCTCACCGTTGGGAACCGTCACCTTGCCCCTGACTCTGGGAGCACTGCCCAAAACAAAGACGGTGATGTCCACCTTCTTGGTGGTGGATCTCCCTACGGCGTACAATGCCATCCTCGGTCGCCCCACCCTCAACAAGATCAGGGTCGTAATCTCCACCTACCACCAGACGGTGAAGTTTCTGACCCACGCGGGGACTGGGGAGGTCTAGGGGAGTCCTCGGAAGTACAGACAGTGCTACCTGACGGTGGTTTCGCAACACAAAAGGGCGAAGACCGACCGCCCTGGAGGACCCAAGGGAAACGAAGCGACCGACCCCGCATCCTGAGCCGACGGTCCACACCTGTGACATACCGTTAATGAAGGATCGCCCAGACCGAACAATCAAAGTTGGGTCGAAACTCCCCGAGCAGGAGCGGGAACAGCTCGTCGGCTTCTTACAGGAGAACGCCGACGTCTTCGCTTGGTCGCCATCTGACATGACGGGTGTCGATCCAAAGACCGCCCAACATCACCTGAACATATCACCCGATGCTCGGCCAGTGAAGCAGAAACCACAACGTCAAGCCCCAGACAGACAGTAGGCTGTCCGCGAAGAGGTGGAGCGACTCTTGGCAGCTGGCTTCATAGAGGAAGTCAAGTACCCGCGATAGTCGTCTAATGTAGTTCTGGTGAAGAAACATAATAGGAGCTTGAGGATATGTGTTGACTACATCAGTCTCAATCGTGCATGCCCAAAGGACTGTTATACCCTCCCTAGAATCGACTAGCTGGTCGACGCAACTGCCGGGCATGTCCGCCTTTCGTTCATGGACGCCTTCTCCGGCTACAACCTGATCAGAATGGCGCCCGAGGACCAAGAACACACGGCTTTTCTCACCGATCTAGGAGTGTATTTCTACAAAGTAATGTCGTTCGGGATAAAGAACGCAGGTGCAACCTATCAGAGAGCCGTGAACAAGATGTTCACCCAACAGATTAGGCGGAATGTCGAGGTCTACGTTGATGACATGATCGTGAAGAGCCGTGCGGCGGCAGATCACCTGACTGAATTGGCCGAAACATTTGCCACGATGTGGAGGTACGGTCTGCGACTCAACCCGGCTAAGTGTGTTTTCGATGTCAACTCGGGAAAGTTCCTCAGGTTCATCATACACGAAAGAGGAATCGACGTCAACCCAGAAAAGGTTCAGGCAATCATCGATATGCAAACCTTTTGACAATCAAGGACCTACAGTGACTGAACGGAAGGCTCGCTGCCTTGCCTCGGTTTCTATCCCGATCGGGCGATCGTTGCCTCCCCTTCTTTCGGGCGCTAAAAAACCCGAAAGACTTCCAATGGATGACGTAGTGTGAGGAAGCTTTCGGACAAGTCAAACAACACTTGGCCAACCTCCCCCGCCTTGCCTCAGTCTCTTTGGGGGAAAAACTCAGTATTTACTTAGCTGCCTCCCGGCGCGCGGTCAGCTCCGTCCTGATCAAAGAAGCCTCAGGCGAACAATTATCAGTCTACTACATCAGCCATGTCCTGAATGGGCCTGAGGAGCGATACCGACCAATTGAGAAGCTTGCTTTGGCGCTCGTACTTACGGCCCGGAAGCTGCGTCCCTACTTCCAAGCCCACCTGGTTGAGGTAATCACCGACCAATCACTCAGACAGGTTTTATCTAAATTTGACATACATTACGCACCAAGGACGACCATCAAAGCACAATCGGTAGCCGTCTTCATTTCAGAACTCGTCCAGACCGAGGACCAGGTTCCCGGCCAACCCAGGGAAGCGTGGGTCCTACATGTGGATGGCTCGTCCACCTTGAGTGGGGCCGGCGCGGGACTAGTGCTATCGGCCCCCGACGAGCGTTCGTTCGAGCGCTCCCTCGCTTCGGGTTCCAAGCAACCAATAACGAAGTCGAATACGAGGCACTCTTAGCAGGACTCATACTGTCCCGCGAGATGCAGGTGGACGACATTCACGTCCTCACCGACTTGCAGCTAGTAGCTTAGTAGCTCAGCGGCGGATACGAGGCCAGGGAACCAACCATTGCAAAGTACCTGGCGGAGGTAAAAAGCCTAGCATCCAATTTCTCTCACTTCACGATATCCAGGGTGCCAAGAAGTCAGAACGAGCGAGCCGACGAGATAGCTAAGCTGGCCTCAAAGTTAGACTCAAGAGCCCAGCCCGAGACCAAAAGGCTCCCCTTTCGCGCCATCTCGGTCTCGACTGTGTCTTCTGCCGACGCTCGTACCACATGGGTGCAGGAGATGTTGCGCTTCAAACGCGACGGGATCCTTCCCGCCAATGAGGCTGCGGCTCGACGCATCCACCGAACACAGGCATGGTACTCCAAGGTAAACAGACGGCTCTACAAGCAGACATTCTCGCATCCTCTACTGCGGTGCCTCGGGCCTGAAGAGGCCCAGACGGTCCTGGCCGAGGTCCATGAGAGGATTTGCGAGGAGCATGTCGCTGGACGAACCTTGGCTTACAAAGTCTTTTGCCAAGGATACTATTGGCCTACCATGTCCCAAGACTCAAAATCTTACGTACAGAGGTGTAGCCCGTGCCAGAGGCATGCCCGAACGCCCCGGCAGCCTGCAGTCCCGCTCGCACCCATTGACTGCGCGTGGCCATTCGTGTAATGGGGACTGGACCTCCTCGGCCCTTTCCCACCGGCCTTGGGGCAACGGAAGTATATTGTCGTGGGAGTAGACTACTTCACTAGGTGGCCCGAGGCCGAGCCGCTAGCAACGATCGTAGAACAACAAGTGAAGAAGTTTGTCTGCAAAAACATCGTGACTCGGTTTTGCTTGCCTAGAACCATCGTCACAGACAACGGATCCCAGTTCGCCAGCACAAGGTTCCTAGAGTTCTGCGGGAACTATGGGATTCAATTGAGGTTCAGCTCGATGGCCCACCCCAGACGAACGGGTTGGCCGAGGTGACCAATTGATCTATTTTAGATGAACTCAGGAGGAGATTGACTGCGGCCCGATCGGCTTGGGTGGAAGAGCTCCCAAATATCCTATGGTCCCTGCGGACCACCCCAAAAACCGCAACTGGAGAATCCCCCTACAGCCTCTCATATGAGACCGAGGCCGTCCTACCCCCCGAAGTGGTTTTCCCTACCCCCCGGACGGAGAACTACGACGAAGAGACATCGACCCAAGGACTACGAGTCGGCCTCGACCTGATCGACGAGCGGCGCGCTGACGCGCACATGAAATACCTCTCTTACAAGAGCGTCGTCGCGAGAATCTATAACCGCAAGGTACGCCCTCGACCGATTAAATTAGGCGACCTGGTCTTGCGCAGGACCGAAGTCAACGACCCGACCCGAGCGTGCGACAAACTCACCTCTAACTGGGAAGGACCTTACCGGGTTATCAACGTCATCCGGCTCGGCACGTATCGGCTTGCAATCGTATCGGCTTGCAATGGTGGAGGGCCACCCTTTGCCAAAGACGTGGAACGTGCGAAATCTTAAGAAGTTTTTTGTATAGTCAAAAGCGAAATAGAAGTCTGAACAAAACTTTCCATTTGAATTGAAGTCAGGTTACAAGACCAGAACTAGACCGACCCCTTAGATTATTACAAGTTTCTACCATAATCGTTGGAACCCCCGACACTATCATCAAAGGGGACCTCGTCCGGCATGTCTATGTCTCGGTCCTCGGGGAGTAAGGCAAAGGGCTCCTCTTTGACCTCCAGTCCGGGGTGGCACATCCTGAATCAGCCCAGGGCAATCCGATACCCATATTCATAGGTAACCGGCCCTGACCGGACCAGCCCGAGGACTATTTGTAGTCCTCGATTAGCTTCTTGTCTTTCTCTGGCCACAGATCCCGCTCGACAGCCAGGGCCTCAGAACCCCCCTTCGCCTCAGCTAGGGCCCCCTCCAGTTTTTTTGTAAGGGTGAACGCCTCGTTCCGGGCCAGACGTGCCTTGGTCCGAGTCACCCTTAGGAGCCCCTGAAGCCCTTCGTATTGCTCTTCGACCACCTTCGTCTTAAACTTAAGGTGTAGGACCTCCGCCTCCAGCACCGAGGTACGCTGATCGGCCGCCATCGCCTTAGACTTGAGGCGCGTCACCTCCGCTTCTAGCTCCGAAAAGCGCTGCTCGGCTGCTGCGACCCCCTCTAGAGTCGCTCCTACGCGGACCTCCTCGATCTCCTTGTGCAGCTCGACATTGCGGTTACACAGAATGTCGAGGGCTCGACCTGCGTCACACACGTGGTCCGCCAACGCCATAGTATAATGTTGGCCCTGCAAGGAAAAAAGTCAGGACAAACGCCACCCGGGTATAAGTGGGGGTTCGATGGTGAGACACTTACCCACAACAACGACTTGGCGGATTTACCAAGCAAAACATCTGAGGGCATGGTGTACAGCTCCCGAGCCATGTCGGAGTGAAGCCCGCCTCGGGCAAACATGACCGCAGCCTCCCCGTCAGCCCATACCCGGGTCCCGCGGGTCAGTCCTGCCCACGAGGCCACCAACGGATCGGAGGGTCAGCCCTCTGAAAGCTTGCCCATCACACAAGCCCGGTAAGACTCGTTCTGCGCCCCCGTAGGGAGGCGACACAAATCATGGATGGAAGGCTCCCGGGGCGCCTTCCCTGCCCCAGCGTTG